TGTTACTCATTAGATAGACTCAACTATACCCAATGAACTGCAGAATGAACATCTTGCTATTTTAGAAATTATTAATCATAGACTCTAAACATTAAAGTAATTAGCAGAAGTAAGTAAAATTAGCAGAAATAAAAGCAGAAATTTGCCAAATCCTTACCAACTTAAAGACATTGAATGGAATAGATAATAATTCATTTAAAACCTAAAAATATGATCTTCTTAAACAGTTTCCTCCTTATTTTCATTTTACAAAGTTTTTTTCCTGATATATCATAGTTAAGTATTGATTGTGATATCAATATAGGAGCAGGTTGCTGTCCCTGAAACTTCTCAGAAACTGGCTAGAGATAGTATTTAAACTGTCAGAAAAGAAAAATTATTAAATACATATGAGCTAAATAACAAAATCACATTTGTATTATTATTTATTTGCTCTGTGTGGGTCTTCTTAAGATCTTCTTAAGAGATTTTAGAATACAAATGAACATTTTTAATGTAATATGTGTCTTTAGAAATGGAATCGGGATCTTTTGCATATTATTCATTGGTGGCATGCAAAATGTTTGCTATACTTCTTACAATTGAAGCTAAATTATAGGATCATGCAATGTAAATAAAAAATAATAGGCTGCAGAATAGCAAAGCTACTTGCAACAGCATTATATCTCCATTTAACTAATCTTTGTACAAGCTCCAGGCAAGTATTCTAGCTCACTTGCAGAAGAAAAAGGTTCTTGTTTAACCCTGTAGAGCACTAACCGGAAGATCTAGAAGGAGGGATTAAACGGGTACTGTTATTGCATATGTGAAAACACAAATCAAAATCGCTCCTCACAAAAAAGCTAGATTCATATTACAAATTACAAGAAAGTTGAGTAGAAAGAGAAATACTAGAGACAAAAAGTAGGAAAAACATGGCTTTTAAAAGACTTTTGTCCAACCCCTCGAAAGCAACTCTACTCTGGTTTTACATGACCAGAATGGAAAGGGCTCTTGAATTAAGTGGTTAGCAACATTCCAAGCTGGGAAGACATTGGGGAATTTTGCGGAAACTTTCTACTTATGAAAAAAAAACCTGCCTGATTTCTCCGCTTTCTAATTTGATTTTTCTTCTGCCTACTTTTCCCCTTCTCCACTCCCTTCGTATTTGATCCTTTTTGTAGCACTGATGACGTTACCTAGTTTGGGTAACGAAGTGTAAGTGTAAGAAAACAACTAACCTTAGAGAGCACTAAGAATCCTCCTTTCAATCCTGAGCTACACATTCTCCTTTATTGATTCTTTTTCTGTTCAGTTTTTTTGCGCATTATTGATTAGCACAAATTAGTCACAACTTGCTTCATTTTTTAAATGAAAAATGTTATTAATTCTTATTAAAAGTTGTGGATTTAAGCATTTGGAGAGATTGGACTAAATAATCGGCAAGGTCCCATCAATATCAAATATATTGATATTTTATAATTTTATGTTAAAGGACTATACTAGGTTTTCTAAAAAGATAGAAAAATCTTTTATATAAGATGTATTTCTAAAATATTTTTAGCTGGAATCATCTCCAGTACTTTCTGTGAAACACTTAAGTCATACAACAATGGTCATCCATTGGCTAAGAAAACATGTTTTAAATATCTTAAATTTGAGCCCACTTTAGTATAGGATTATTTTTAATACAGAGGAAAACAGAAAAATGTCAACTTATTCTAAACCAAATTATACATGTTGAACAATATAATAGCATTGCAAAATAAACATTTTAAAATGCATCTTTATTTAATCAATGACTTTGTCAATTGTTCCTGCTCTTGAGATACATTGATTCTTAGGATATAACGCTATATTGATGATAATGTGCCATTTTAGTTAATCATCTCACATTAGCGGCTTATACGTATTGACTCATCAGATATACTCCAAGTGGATAAAAGAATATCATGAACTTGACTACTAATGTCAGTTAGAAAGGGATAAAGAATATCAACATTAAGAATGATCACATTCAGATGATATCACTGGTCTGTTATTGCTTAGCTATGTAGATACCGTGTTTCCCCAAAATTACAACATGTCCTGATAATAAGGCCATGCCACATTTTTCTGGTGGGCAAAAATATAAGCCCTCCCCCGCAAATAAGCCCCCTGGACAACCCCCCACCTCTGGCCAGGTGTGAATGGCCCAGCTGTCCCTGCAGAGCCAGGGAACAGCTGTCACTGCATGGCTTTTTTTGTGGTTTTCAAACCAAGTCTTCCAGCAGTGGCTACTCTGGGCGTATGCTCTATGATTGTACACTCTGCCAGCAACTGGCCAACAACCATAGAGCGTATGCCCAGAGCGGCCACTGCCGGAAGACTCGGTTTGGAAGCCGCAAAAAAAGCCATGTGGCGGCAGCAGCAACGGAGGTGACCTGGCTCTGCAGAAAGAGCCGGGCCATGCATCGTGAGGTTGGCAGGCGCATGAGCGAGAGCGAAACAGCTGCTCGTGCAAGCCCCCTCCAGCCATACAGAGCGCCATTTACTGCCATTTTGAAGGCGCCAAGCCGCGGGAGCCGGGCAGCGGCAAACAGGCGCTCACACGGCTTGGCAATACCCCTAGGTCAGTGAATGGCGCTGTGCCCGGCTGGAAAGGGGGTTTGCCGGGTAGCTGTGCATGAGTGTGGTCGCTTCATGGCTGCTGTGCTGTGCTGCTGCGACAGTGCAATATAACCATTTGCCAATGAGGCTGTGCCTGGCTCTTTGGGAGCCCGTTTATAAGAGAGCAGCCGCCAGGCAACCCCAAAACAATAAACCCTCCCCTCATAATAAGGCCCAAACCAGATTTTGTGTGTAAAAAGAAAATAAGACACTGTCTTATTTTCGGGAAAACACTGTATATAATAGAGATAGTCCTCAACTTGCAACCATTTGTTGAGCAACCATTCAAAATTATGTTGGTGCTATACAAGGGGACTTACAATAGGTACACAAAGTTGTGGCCATCATAGAATCCCTGTGGTCAGGTGATCATGATTACTGACCTGCAGGTGTTCCCCATTCTCCACTCATAGCACCCATGCATCCTCTATACCAGGGGTGTCAAACTCATGGTCTGTGGGCCGGATGCACTATGCACTGGCCACGTCCACCTCTGTATTAGCAAAGGGAAAAAAAGTCATGGTACGTCCTGTGATGACAAAGTGACACTGTGAGTTTGACACCCCTGCTCTATACTCTTTTATGTGGGACTGCAGCTTTTGCCTGCTGAACAACCTACTAGTAACAACTATCAACATCCGTTCTTATTTATGCTTCCAAAAATGATTCCTGTCAATAATTTTCAAGTGCAATTTATCTGCATTTAATTAAGGTATTTTAGGAGAAAGTAATAGAGAATTGCTTGAATGTTTATGAAAAGATGAAAAGCGATAACATTCTGTTTGACTTTTGTGAACGTATTGAAAAACTCTATTGCCCTCATATATTGACCTAACACCATCTCTCAAAAAGAACATATCATTTCTCTCAGAATACTGTTGCTTCCCATCCTGAATTAACATTGCATAGTATAGATACAATTTCAAATCTATGACATTGTTCATGAAACTCAGTATGAAGCTTTAAGGAAAATCACTGCCTTTATCATAGCACCCAGAGTGTAATGTATGTAGCATCCCAAAAGGTAACATTGCTGAAAAATACTATGTGAAAGCTTATGTTCACTGAATATTCTTGTTTTCATATTTTGCTCTTCCATATCTTCACCAATGTCTTAACATGCTAGCCTCTTGCTTCTTTTTCATCTTTGTTTCTTTTGTTGCTTGTGTTTCAATGTATATTGTGTTATATTGGCCTGGTTAAAGAACCGTTACCGTATTTTATGTTTGTATCTATATTTTATTTTGCATGCTTAACGTGGCTTTGCCTGGATATTCTTTTTGGTAAGTTCTGAATTTTAAAAGTGTATTGTTTTTTTGTAGTAAACCTGTAAACTCTCTTGTCACCAATCTTTCCCCCATCAAGAAATCTGTCCTTCTTTTCATCATGCTGATTTGTGCTGATAAATGGTTTTGCTTTGGCTAATTATCTGTATAACCAACCTACATAACACTTTTAATTTCATATTTAGATCTTCTGTGCCTATGTCACAGTTTCTGTACTAATGGGTACTAATTACCTAGTAACCAGGACTAATGAAAAATAATAGTTGAATATGGTTTGAATCATTTTCAGCTCTCATGAAAAGATTGCAGAGAGCCCAGTGGAGTTCTCTTTCTGTGTGTGTGTGTGCATACCTTTTGCTCATGAAATGTGTGCGCACACCTGTGTATCACAGAGAGCTACTTGTTATTTGGAATGGGTGGATGGCTTGCTTATATACATATACAATGTCTATACTTAACACTTCAGTTCAGCAAGAGATTTCAAGAATGACATGTTAACCAATCTGACTGATTAACAGATACGCACATGGCACCATCCCTTTTCCTGACTTGCATTGCTCTTTAACCATGGTCTGTGCATAAGTAGATAGGAAAAAAATATCAATATTTAACCTTTTCAAATTCCAATTCATGCTATCTTGGAAGAAATTTCCTTTCTGGATTAAGGAAATGCTTTGTTCTTAAAAACAAAAAGCCACACCCAATGATTAAAGTGTATACTGAACATTTCTTTGAAGTGATCTGGTTGATTTAGATGTTACACACACAAAAAATGTTTATTCCGTCCACCTCTTGCTTCCCTAACAGCCAGCCTTATGGTAGATGTTTGTATTCAAAGGGGGAGAACTCCACTGAGTTTATAGCAGAAAAGACTGTATTCTGCTATTTATTGATTTTTGTAAAATTCCTATAAAATACAATTTCATATTAGAGCTATACGGTAAAACCATGAGCAAAAAGAAATTATGGAAAATTGGATACACATGCTTCTTGCAATAGGATTTCCTGATTTTCCAAAACTAAACTATTGCTTATGCATATAAGTATGTGTATATGTTTCAATATATATTTTTCTTTAATTTACAGCAACAGTTAGCTCAGCTGCAAAAAGAGAAATCAGAAATTCTGAAGAATCTGGCTTTATATTACTTCACTTTTGTTGATGTTATGGAATTTAAGGTAAAGATCTAAATATAGATTAACTTCCTTGAGTGGCTTGTAGCTAAAAGTTCCCATTAAGTATAGATTAAATCATTCTCTATGATGTTGGTTTGAGAATGATATATATAGCCTATCATAAATTATTTGTTACTGTAAGATGCTAACAAACAATCATACCTTTCTCTTCCTTTTTATTTCAAAGGATCATGTCTGTGAACTATTGAATACTATTGATGTTTGCCAAGTCTTCTTTGATATTGTAAGTCTGAAAAAATGAATCTTTTAAACTATTAAGATAGAAACATTACGAGGGAATATCAGGATTGTGTTGTTGCAGTTATATCAAGCTGGGCTTGTTTCTTATAAAGGATTGAAAATGGGACATGACATGGGTGAAATGCTACCTTTTCGGGCCAGTTCACCTAAACTGGTAGTAAAAAATGCTTTCAAAAAGTTTTTTAAAAAGTTCTGACGATAGCATGGCACAGGTGATTATCATAGCTGACTGTCGGAACTTTTTTTAAAAAAAAAATAGCATTTTTTTTACTACCGGTTCAATCGAATAGGTAGTAAAAAATGCTTTTAAAAAGTTTAAAAAAAAGTTCTGACAATCAGTTGTGCAACAGTCAGCTGTGCTGCTTTCAGTCCTGCTTTCTAGTGAATCCATATCACGTGGCACAGCTGTTTCCCCCCCCCCCCCGTTCTATTTACCTATGCAGACTCAGAAAAGACTTCTTAGTGCCTGCAGTGCGCATGCACGCAAAGGTAGTAGAATCGGTAGCAGACTTCAGAGCATTTCACCCCTGGGACATCCCTGCTTAAATTACTGTTAAATAATGCTGGATCAGGAATATCTGTTCAATATGGGGTCTTTAAATGTGCACGGTATTTAATTTTTATGTTTTAAAATTAATACAAGCTCTAGGAGCTGTTAAAAATTCAGGCAATGATCATTGATGACAGACTGCTGAACTGTGGAGCTTCCTAATAGATTTTGGCAAAACAAAGCCATTGGCTGAATAGGTTTAATAAATAGGGTTAATTATCTTTAAAGGTTTTTCTTTTAAATTTTCCAAAAACTACCACAAAAATAAAAAATCCTACTTCTCTGACTGTTCCAGGCAACAGTGCACTGATTTGTCAGGAAGAGGATGAAGAATTAGGTTTTCAGCTTCTGAGAGAACTTTAAATGTTGTCATTAACTACTTTTACATCTGGAATCCAGAAATGTATTTTCAAGACATTTGACAATTATTTATTGGATGAGCTCACATAGAAGATTTTGGCTGGGGCGAGTTAATAAATCAGACCAAATCTGAGAGCTCCAAAGGGTTGGGCCTGAATCAGTCACAGACACCAGTCAATGGGCATGGAAAAATGCATGAAGAATAAGAACTTGAAAGTGATATGAGTAATCTGCTGTAAAAAATGTGATGTCATGCCTGCAAGCCATGGCAATTATATGGAGTTGGGTGATATCCATAATAACATTCGTCTTAGAAAGCCAAGGTCATCTTTGTCTCTGCACCTGGCTGGAACTGGATGGGTGGAAGCTGCCAGCGTAGCAGTGGAAGATTGGACCATGTGATGGACTTGTGGGTGGGGGCAGTATCTTGAACTTTCAACTGGGTGGGAAAACCTGGAAGCTTTCAGATTTGCATTTTCCCAGATGTGCCAACATGGCTCTTTTAATAAATTGGAACTCTGAGGAATGTTTTGCCTTGGACTCTGATTTAATTTTGGATGCTCTTTGGAACCCTGACATGTGCATTGTTTAATCAGTGAATTGATACATTTCGCATAATTTTTTTTAAAATAACTCTTTGTATTTTAATTTCAGACTGTAAACTTTGATTTAACAAAGAACTATCTAGACTTAATCATAACCTACACAACATTAATGATATTGCTGTCTCGGATTGAAGAACGGAAAGCCATCATAGGATTGTACAACTATGCTCATGAAATGACACATGGAGCAAGGTATCTGGTACACTGGGGGCCTTTGGGGGCCTCATTCACTTTGCACAAGTATTTTACACTAAATTCTTCTTTTGCTTTCAGTGATAGAGAGTACCCACGTCTTGGCCAGATGATTGTGGATTATGAGAATCCATTAAAGAAAATGATGGAAGAATTTGTACCACATAGTAAAGTATGTGTGAATTTTTGTGCTTGCTGAAATATATTTTTTAAATTCAGTTAAGTGTTTTATAATGTCTCTGTCACTATTTTCTTTAATGATTTTAAAATAATTAGATCCAGTTGCATAAATAGATAAAACAGTTTATTTGTCTCTTGTAAGCAAAATCTGTAAATTGCTGTGTTATTGTGATTTCTTTGTTTTTTCCCCTGACTTCTGAATTTGTAAATATTTTATAGTGAAATAATGTTCAGTCACTTATTAAGTCTTGGAATATAACCAACATTTCATAGTCATTATTCAATTCAATATTTTAGCATTCACTGTCCCTTTTGGTATCATATATGCTTCCCACATTTTCCAGTATTTTCCAGCAAAAATATAAAAATAATTCTATATGATACTTTGGGACATGGAGTTTTCACATCCTAGATTGTGCTTGCAGTAGTCCTATCAAAGAAGAATTTTACACTGCTAAAAATATGACATTCATAATTGTCACTTTCTTACTGAATGGAAGTATGCATGGCAATGGTAACCATTCACAAGCATATGAAGAGGAATGTTTAAATTAATAAGAGTTAATGGAGTGAATCCTGAGGGAATTGTAAGACATAAGGGAAATAAAACTCACTTTCCCTGAATTCCGCAAAGCTCTGTTAAAAGATTCTCCGATTGCTGTATGTTTTGATTGAATTTATAGTAGCCAGTTTCATTCTTTATGATTATATCAACATGATATAATCATGTTAGCCAGCAACCAAATGCCTTTTAAAGCTTCTAATATTTGTCACCATTTGTCTATATTTTAAAAGCTCACTGCATTTTTTTAAACAAGCAGTAGTTTTGCAAAAAGGAACAGTAAAAGGTAATGAAAGTAAATGGAAGTGTATTTGTGATGGAGCAGAGATGTTAAGGGACACATTTGGGAGGTGTGTGATGCCAAGCCCTGGCTTGGAGTACTGTACAGGTTCAGGTAACCAAAGATGTTGTGGAGTACAAGAAGGAGGAGTTAATGGTCTGGAGAGAGCAGAGGATTGAGTAGTAGATGAACCATTTGGTTCTGATTGCTCCAAGTGGTGGATAGGTCATAAGCAGTGGAAGCAGTTGGGCTGCGTGCTAATTTAGTTTGTGTCTCAGAACAGATGCAATATGAATCGAGAATGGAAGATACTATCATCTGTCCTTTGTCATAGACAAACTACTCTTTGATTGCTATGGAGTTCATTAGTACTACCAATCTTTTGTAGGAATGAATGGGTCTATTCATTTGGTCTGCCTGAGATGTTTAATGGATCCATCTGCTTTCCAGAGGACTCTTAAATAATTTACTGAAGCCCTGGAACACAGTTGTGGAGAGGTCTTGGTTATTTACTATGGAGACAACTGCAGCCTTAGACAGGATTGTACCTGAGCGACCTCTGTTTGTCTATTGATCTAGAGGAAATATTGAGTTTACTGAGGAGCTCCAGCAGATGAAGTGGCTGGAGAGATGAATAGAGGAATGCTGACAAAAAAACCCAATGTGAATCTGATCAAATAAGAGGCTCAAGCCTATACTGTGGCAGTAACAGTGGCAAAATGGTAGTATGCCTCCACTCTGATTGTATGAATTACCACCTAGCTGTCCTGTTCAAATAAACCACAAAGACTGTGATAGAGGAGGATTTCTTGGGCTACTCTTAGAATTGGGAAATAAAATCATTGAAATTAGTTGGAATTTGAACATCTGCTATACAAACACTATAGAAGTGACCAGAATTACATCTTCTATGTTATGATTTGGAGCCAGGATCTGAGGAAATGGGTTAGATTTTCTGTGGCATCAACTTTAGCATCTAGCACCTTGGATTATTTCCCTTCCTGGTTGATGAAAGCCTCAAGGAAGGTACAGATAGACAAAGCCAATGTGCAGATTACTGCTACATTTCAAGTTTCTCAGCTGTGCAATATCACTCTTACGTCTCCAGTTGGCTCTATTTATCTACTTACTACATTTTTCATAAATAATTGAATGCAGTACAGCTCAAAACACCTGCTTAGATCGTTGAGAAGATAGACCTCCCATTGCAGAGGAGCCTGGATGAAGCAGATTGTTTCGATGCTTTTTGGACTGTTTCATGCTTGGGTATGGTTTCAAGACCACATTAATCTCCCTTGGCAGCGAGCAGTGGCAAGGTTGGGATAGGGGACATGCAAACCTCACAATTTTGCTTGATTTCTCAGTGGTCTTCAATACCATTGATTATGGTGTCCTTCTACAGAGGGTTGAGATATTTTTCCTAAGGGGTCAGTTCCAGTCATTGGTGGTGGAAGAAGTCAAGGCCTAGGGCGTTCTGCTGTGGAATGCCACAAGACGTGAAACTGTTACGATCTTTTTAAAATCTACATAAAGCTACTGGGAGAAGTCATCCATAAACAGAAAGTTAAGAATTGTTGGTATGCTGGTTTAGTGGGTACAGATGATGTCGTTGAGGTACAAGGGGAAGATTCATTGCCAAGGCATCAATCAAATTTAAAAAAATTTGAACTCAGACCAAGAAAGTGATTTATGAAAATTACTCAGACACTTCCTCCCCTGCCTCTTAGAAATTCACATTAAGATAAAAGAAATGAAGGGAAACACGTTCAGATTTTCAAGCTTCTGTTACTATACCTGTTCTAATAACAAATAGCTTTAAGTTTACACTTAAATCTATTTCTTAGTCTGGTCTACTTTATGGAGATGACATAAGATTCTCAGTCAATTTTTTTGCCACCTCGCCCCCTGCCAATTGGAACATTTGCTGAAGTTCTGATCTTGGGCTTGGAATTATCAATGTCTGGATGGCGAAAAGCAGGCTCAGTTCCAAAAAGTTGGAATGACATTGGGTTCAGAATCCATCTGTATATTCCATCTTTAGTTCTGGATAGGATCAGCATCTCTTGTGCTGAATCGTTTTCATGACCTGCAAGTTTCTCCTCGATTCCCTGGTTTGACTTGAAGAACAAGAGGCAGTTGTATTTAAGTAGGATCTTCTCATCTTGTATGCCAGTTATGGCCGTTTCTGAATCAAGATGTCCTTCTCATAGTTAATGTGTCTTGACTACTTTTCGCCTACAGTAGTCCAATGCACTTTACATGCCCTTAAAGACACCTAGGTAGTAGAGGCAGTCCAAAATGCAACAGTTATGTGTGCCACTTGATTACCCATGGAATGCCTCTTCTTTCACAGCTGCATTGGGTTGGCTGGTAGTGCAATTCAAAGTACTTTAAAACTCCTCATGATTCAGCAGCTGATTTTTAGAAAACCACAACCTCCCTGTGGTGTATGCTTGTTCAATAAGATTTGGAGGGAAGGCTTGTGAACAGATTATTCTCTTATTGCAAGGTCTGTGGGGGTGAGCTGTCTCAGTCCCCACCCCACCCCCATTGAAATCTGATTAGTCCCAACCTACTTGGTATTTTAGAAAGCTAATATGTATGACTTTTTAAGAGGGCTACAGAGGCTGGTGTATTGTGAGTCTCTCGATTTCCCACAGGAGGAATATCTGTTTTAATTGGATTTTGGCTCTTTGTACATGACGTGATGATGATACATTGAATGTGTTTTATTTGTTTTTGTCTTGTTACAGAATATGGAAATGCAAGCCATTTAGAGTCAGATACATTTGGACTGATGTATAAGCCTTTGCAATAAATAGCAATCAGTAATATTGTTTTCTTTCAGCCAGAGATAGAATGTCAATTTACTATATATCCCATCACAGCTGTTTTGACGCAGGCTTAGCTTGCCAGTTCTCTGGATATACAGGCACTTAAAAAACAGCTGGGTGTATTTTACATGTAGTTGTGTAAGTACTACTTTTACCATGCAAATTGGAGTCAATGTTCAAGTTCTGCTATGAATTTCTTAAACATGAGTGACATTGGATGTTTGAATTGTGATATTGGATTCAAATGTTATTTATTATCAATTTTTTAAAATATATATATTGATTTATTATTAGGCTCTTTCAGATGCCCTAATCTCACTTCAGATGGTTTATCCTCGTCGGAACCTTTCAGCTGATCAGTGGAGAAATGCTCAGCTCTTGAGCCTCATCAGTGCTCCCAGCACAATGCTTAATCCTGCACAGTCAGACACAGTATGTCACTCTTTGATTGATCTGTGTTATATTTATGCCTTGAAACCAAAAATCAGTTCCTCCTTTGGTTCCTCCTCATGCCATAGGGAAGGGGCAGCTCTGATGATGAGTGGGGAGGAGTGGAGAACTTTCATCCAGGAACCTTAATTGTCCTTTGAATTCAGTTGTCTTGCTCAGTTTATTTATTATGCCTAAATGTAGGTTAATATAAATTAAGCGATGCATTTGCTTCAGGCAAATAACTATATTTATTTAAATAGTTAAAACATGTCTCTGCTGACTCATCCACAGGGGAGCCCGCAACCATGAGGCTGTTTAGACCCCTGAAAGCTCTCCCCTATCCTTTTAACTAACTTTAATCTGTTGCCTCTTCTTAACATTTTTAACTTTTCTATATACTCTTTGGTGTTTTATTGTACAGAGTCTCTCTTTGAGGGAGATTGAGTGGCACAGAAATGTGAAGAAGTAATTAATTAATTAAAAAGCTTAAAATACTGGCTGAGATAATGACATGCTAAATCATGAAGTATGCATTGCTCTTTTAATTTTGATGGGGGGTATCGTATTTTTCAGAGTATAAGAGGCATCTCCCCCCCCCCCAAAGAGCGTGGAAATGTTGGTGTTATACACCGAATACATGCATTTTTGGCCTCCCAAAGCCCCACCCTCGCATCCCATTTTTGCGAAAAACTCAGGGTTTTTTGCCTTCCCTCAACCCCCAGCAGCACTCTGCAGGCTTCAGCAGGGCTGGGACAAGGCAAAAATGTCCCTGTTTTTTTGCTAAAAACGGCCCGTTTTTAGCAAAAAAAAAGGGTTTTTTTTTTTTTTTTTTTTTTTTTTT